TTAGTATAGTCCGTGATTTATAATCAACATCTAGACCTGGCCCCGATATTCTAATTTTAGTATCATTAATCTTAAGTGGCTGTATTTTTCCTATTCTATCAATATTAGTAGAAATGTTCATATAATGGAATCTAACAACACTTCTGTCATCAGGAGGTTGATATACACCAATCCTGTATCCACTGGAGACACTTAATGGAGTAGGGAGAGTGAAACGATACTGTCCATTAGTTGTAAAGTTATCAGGAGTCAGTCTGATTTCAACAGACATCACTCTAGTGTACACAGTATTCATGTTATTAGCTGGCCTCCATACTTCAAATCTTGGATATAAATTTCTACCAGTACCAATATTATGAACTGTCCTTATATCAACTCCAATCAATATTTCTATTATAACTGTAGCACACGTGAACATGATATCATTCCCCATAGAGTCCTCAATGATGATCCATCTTGTTGCAGTGTTTTCAGCTAGTCTGTTATTAAGTAATGATCCTGATGGATCTGTTGCTTTACCCTGTAGAAGACTATAATCCATAAATCCTTCAGTACAAGACTCTCCATTAGCCTCCAGTAATATTCCATTACTCATGAAGCACAGCAGTATTACTAATAGAAGATAGGAAGACATAATCTTCAGCATCTTTGGCAGCAAAGATAACTATTACTGATAAAAACAACATTAAATGTTATTATATAATAAAATTTTTATAGTCTCTTTCAGTGTATATATGGCATATAAACATAAACAGTAATGCATAAACAGTAGAGTAAAGGAAGCCATTTTCCCGTTACTCTACTATCTACGTGTAGTGGCAAGGCTAATTCAACTATTCCCAGGTAGAGATTATTATTTATCTTATAGAAGCCATAGAGCTCAAAGGCACCCTGCAAAGATTATACATACACAAACAATTACATTATTACAATTATTACATACACAAACCAATAGTTGTATTAGTGTTGTTGTAGTACCATAATTTTATATAGTTCTAGTACTAGTTCTAGAACTAGAGTTTGATAAAATTTAGTTCTAGTACTAGTTCCGGAACTAGACTTTGATAAAGTTTAGTTCTAGTACTAGTTCTGGAACTAGAGTTTGATAAAGTATAGTTCTAGTACTAGTTCTGGAACTAGAGTTTGATAAAGTTTTGTTCTAGTACTAGTTCTGGAACTATAGTTTGATAAAGTTAGTTCTAGTACTAATTCTAGAACTAGATTTCAATAAATTTTAGCTATTGTTCTAGTTCTAGAGCTAAGTTATAGTTCTTGTACTTGTTCTAGCAATAGAGTTTAAGAAGCTTAGTTCTAATTGGAAATAATTTCTAACAAGAGTCCATTATGTTTCTAAATACTGCTTTTTTGCTTCTGCTGTCATGCCTTAACTGATTAGCTTTGAACTGAACAAGTATTCAAGTCTATTGATATACTTAGGCATTATAATCTATGTCAAAGTAACAAATTCATACATTATCTGTTATTCAGTCTTTGTTATGTACTAAAATATTTCACTGACAAATTATTACCTTCTTTGTCAAGTAATATTGTTCTATAATTCTAGTTCCAAACTAGTTATAGTACCACAAGAGAATGTACTTTTAGTTCCAGTTTAGTTCTAGTACTGAGACTCTGGCAAAGTTAGTTCCAGTTTAGTTCTAGTACTACAAGTCTTGTATAAGCTGGTTCTAGTTTAGTTCTGGTTCTTACATTGGTTGTAAAAATAGTACTAGTTCTAGTTCTTGGAACTAGAACTATGAAAAAAAGGCAGTACTAGAATTGA